CCTGAAAGTTAAATAAGAGTAAATCCTAACCGTGCAAATTGAACTCCTTGTAACAGGTAATCGTTAAACACTATACATACAATTATAGTTCCAATGTTTCTGATTGATTTCAAAGAGTTGTAGCAAACATAAAGAGTTTATATATTTTCATATTTAATTTTTTACCAACACATTTTAAAAATAAATACTTATTGCAACCTTACAAGAATAGTACCTTTTGCATGTATTCCGTCTAGATTCGGATATTCATTCCAACAAATTCTGACCTGCTTTATAGCTAGCTCTGAATTCTTCCGACTGGCTTCTGACATGCATTCCCACAAGCTCCTGATATTCGTTCCGAGTAGTTTCATGCTCATATCACGACAATATGACTGACTGCTCTGTTCAGAAATACATAAACACCTAAACATATTCAAGATGTGAGATTCCAAGCAACATCAAGCCTCATATTACGACCGAAGCCTCTGTGCACCGCTACATTTACCACTCACAGCTACCCATACATTATGCGTTCCTGGAGGCAATGAATGGAACACCATTTAAACACTCCAGTAATTGCTTTAGCACGATGTTGCATAACAGAAGGAGTTTGTCTTCAACAAGAATTCGTCTTGAAAGAAGCAGGTTACCATATGTTACCAACGCGTTGAACAATAAAGTTTTCTTATTTGGAAAGCATGCAAACAAAACTATAAACTGTTCAACATCTAATACACTAAACATATATCAAGGATTACGTACGCGAACATTTTATACCATATAAATAAGAGGTTCAGAAAACAGAACAATTACGTCTGTACATTGAGGCACGGGAGGGGGGTAGCTTAAAGGTTGAAGCGTTCGATCGTCACGCTGAAGACTGGGGTTCGATTCTCCACATGGGTACTGTGTGAAGCCCATTTCCGGTGTCCCCCGCCATGATATGGCTGGAATATTGCTAAAAGCGACGTAAAAGTAAAGCCACACACTCACTCCATCGAGGCACATTCGTGACACAAATTGCTCGTAAATGGTTGATTTTGTCATATTCGGAAAACGTGTTAACATATTTTACAAATCGTGACTCAACAAGGCCATGGCTTCGTCCTCTCCCCACACTACATTCACATGTGTTGTCAGAAAACAACCTAACAGTTTTGATTTAAAAGAAATAATCTCTTTCAGACTTTTTACCTTTCAAGCTAAAAATCCAGGGTACGTTGGTTAACCTAACCATCGAATAACGAAATCGAAGGTCAGGGTTTCTGATACATATCATCGTATCTCATTTGCATAGATCAATGCTCATGAAGTTGATCACTGGATTGTCTGGTGTAGATTATTTAACGCCTCCACATAGCTGGAATATTGCTGTGTGCGGCGTAAAACAACACCAACAACTAAGCCAAGCGTAAGAATGACATCGAATGATTAAGATCCGTGCCTTACTGCGATATCAACAGTCAGTTGGTCTAATTCGGACAATATGCCAGCCGCCACAATATTCTCCTTTGAAGACGAGAGGACAAAGAAAAAACGTTTTTGGAATTACATCAGGATTTTTCTAGCAATACTGTCAATTAAGGCTCAAGTGTAACTTTCATCATTTCAGGCAATTTTGAATGGTTACCATCCTTATTTCTAGAACCATCGCGAGTTTTACCATCATTATTGCATCGGGCATTGCATTCATAATTTCAGGGACCTTTGAGTGCTATACCATCATTACCCACAGCATATGCCATCGGTATATGCATTGCTTCAGGAACATCAACTTCAGAATTTCAAGAACCTTCGAGTGTTAGCGTCATAAGTTTGAAAGCTTCAAGTGTTATCTTCAGTAACATTCCATTGTTGCCTTCCGTATTCGATACACTTCCAATGTTACCTTCGGTTGTCGATACATTTCTAATATTACCTTCAGTTTTCGAAACACTTCGATTGTTATTTTCCTTCGTTCAGCAACCGGACAAGTGCCCAGTGTTCAGATTTGTGTTAACACCAGAAATTACATATAATAACATTCAAGACAATCCGCAAACAACACAGGATTTACAAGTACCCCTACGTCCCTCTATTCTAATCTTTTTCTTATATAGGTTTCATAATAACGTCATAAGGAAAGACATGCTGACGAAAATAGTTATTAACCTCCACGTCAAGGTCCAGGTGAGTAACCATTGTTCATCGTTGCTTAAAATGCCCCATATAATAGCGAGCCTTATAATAATGGCCATTTATAAAGCGCCTGGTTCCACACACTTGTGCAGTGAAGCTGCCGAACTCGGCCACTCATCCAATGACTCTCCACGTGGCTTAACTTCAACTGATTTGTGACCAGAGCTCTAGCACAGGATCACACACCACCAATGTCTTGTTCCATTGGAACACAGCCCAAAGGGATGCAAATCTGGAACGTTTACCACTTTGGGGGATTTAACCACAGGTGACCGAGATTCGAACCCTCAACCATACTTATTATTAGGTTTCTGTTATACCAAAGGATCATAGTTCTGTACAACACATTGATGCGCTTCTGTCGACAAGGTCACCCATGTGCCACTATCATGACTAAGACCATACTGAATAGTATTCAACATTCAACAGTAGCGGGAGATTTCGACGAAGTATCAAGCACGACATTAGTTATCTTTTTGATTATAAACATCTGGATTTTAGTACCTACATTATCAGGACAGCGATTTTATGATATATTAATAGAAGCAGTCAGACATATAGACATCAAAAGGAAAAATAGCATCTTTAAACTGCATACTATAAAACTAATTGAAGACGAATATCATTTTCTCGGCGCATATCCAGCTTACCTCTCTTTGAGAACCAAGTATTTGAAAAGCTTCTTCTCTGTACATCATAGTATCTATAAATTTGTATATTTGTACAACAAGGACTGATCTGCTCGAAGTCAGTATAATGTGTCTGAGTGGGCTATTCATGTTTAACTGGGGCATGGTATCTCAGTGAGCTTGCACTATAGACAGACAGACAGACAGGTTTATTTAAGTCTCCAGCTAAACTATAAAACCAGCTAAAGTCTGGGCTAGTACAAGCCGCCACACATACACACACATGCACGTCGTCATATGAGAGAAATATTCTTAAGTACGACGTTAAACCCCATTTCACCTCACCTCACCTCACCTACAACGATTATCCATGTACATCCATTAAGCCTTTTTACTCCTAAAATATTTACTTTGTCAAATGTCCACTGCCTAAAGTATACGCAAAATTGTACTACAGGCCTATGTCCTTTTCAGTACAGTAAATATAGATCACAGACGGGGAAGTGTTATTGGAATCTACCAATGACTGCAAGGCTCAAATATAATAGGACAAAATCTGTTTCAAGTATCTGGTCAATTGTCCAAAACAACATCAATAAGCATTTTTTTTTAAAATCATATATGAGAAGCACCAATAAGACTCAGCTGACGGTTCACGTTAAGTGGATCTTGAATATCAGTTGGAAGGATCCACGTGTTTATTTGGCCAGTCTATAGTAAGTAGCATAGCTTTAAGAACCATGATCTATTTACGAACGCATGATTTACATCACAGCGTGAAGAATACAACCGATTTAGTACATTACACGCACTGTATTTCGTTTAAGTCATCAATAAACACTTGGATGTTGGTACTAACAACACCGTATACTTCGGAAACAAAAAAAGAGGAACAGTTTCTCGTGCCAAGTGAACGCATAACTGTCAAACACAATATTTATATTGGGAAACATTAGCGGAATGAAAATATAACTGTGCTGTGTTGTGTCATTGTCGGAGTTGCTATGTACCAAGGGCTGTCATTACTTCGGTGCAAATATATAGTCATGCGAACACCAATGCCATACAATAATATCATAAATAATGGGTGTTAACTTCATTGCGACCTCTTTACTACCATTCCTGTAGAAAATGACTACGTCATTGCACGGGTTGGATAATGGACGTGCTTCAAGTGCAGCCACCTCTATCCGTCTTCACTTTCTGTTTCAGGACAACACACTTTATATAAAAGTTATTTTCAATATTTTTTCAAATGTGATTACACCATCAACAAGTCGAATTACTGAAGGAATTAAAGGGAAAGCAAAACTGAAAACGAATAACAAAACTGGTTTTGTGAAACCATCTAGTGTACACTATCAGGGTGAATAGGTGAAGTGAGGTGAAATGTGGTTTAACGTCGTACTTAAGAATATTTCGCTCATATGACGATGTGCATGTAGTGTGTATGTGTGGCTGCTTGTACTAGCCCAGACTTTAGCTGGCTTTATTGTGCTAGCTCACTGAGATACCATACCCCAGTTAAACATGAATACCCCACTCAGACACATTATACTGACTTCGAGCCGACCAGTCCTTGATGTACCCATTAATGCCGAGCGCCAGGCAGAAACCAACAAGTACCATACCGGTATTTTAACGTCTTTTGGTATGACGCGGCCGTGGATATTAGGGTAAATAGCCAAAAATTATAACAAGTCATTTATATGCAAAGCGCCACAGATACAATATTTTAAAATACCCCACCGTGTCAACAAGCTCCCCTTCTCAGAAGCGGCCGCTGGTGATGCCGAAGACCCGTGTTGTATGGAACCGAGAGGCCCAAGGCGGAATATTGCTGAAATATTGCTAAAAGTAGTGTACAAGCATACCAACTCACCTACTCTCTCGCTCACTCACTCATTTTGCAACGAGAATATACTCCACGTACATTCGTGAGCCTCTGAAAACGAGCTCGTTCCAATTCACAGACAACTTCTTAGAACGCCATTCAAGCACCACACACAAAATACACAAATACTCCTTAAAACGTAAGTATAGAGTACACATTGTTACACAAAAACACAAGATGTATTGCATACCACAGATATCATTGCCTCTACTAAACAAACATGCAGTCAATGGTTACTAGATATCCAAGATATCTGCTCTGACAATCTCTTGCCGCTGAAACTACCGGCGTTGCCAAGTCGTGAAGAAAGTCTGATTCGTTTTCCTGCGGTTGAGAACGCGAGACCAGCACCGGGGCGTGTCGTATTACTGCTCCCGACTTGCTGTCAAAACCCCCACCGGATAACGTGGCTACCAGTGCTATGGCGATAGTGCCTTGCTTCACGAAATATAGGTTAAAATTAACCCAGTGATTGCCCCTCGTTCATTACAAGACTTGGTACTGAGTTCAACGATTCTTGTGGTGCACCGTCATGAGGAACTACATCTTCTGTCTGGTTTTAGGTAAGACTTTTGACATTATCCACGTGGACAGTGTAGGACATATTTACGCTTGTTATGTAATCGTATGCAAATGTTTGAATAATGCAGCTGTTCATTGTTTTCAAGAAAGCTGAATGCTGCTTTGCCATTTTGCAGATATGTTTCCTGCAAGAATGCATGTTGTAACCGAATGAATATTCTATGTCTTAAGGGTCATGTTTCAGAACAAGAATCGTGCTATACAGACAGCTTATTTTTATGGTCTAATAAGTTTGGTGTATCGCTTGAATTTATGGCTAGCCTTTAACAGATCTAAAAACAAATTACATGAATACACAATGCCCTTTAGAAAGTGGTCAAATCTAGGATGTGTAATATGTGCGTTGTCGATTAGGTGCTTTATTCTGAAAATGTGGGCTCGAATACCGCACCCGTGAATCAACTCAGTAACAGTACTTGAATCTGTACTTTACTGAGAAAATGTAAGGCCAAATAAACCATATGTTACATTGGAGGCTCAGTCATTGGAATAATTCAGTTTGTTAAACAAAATATTTCTTCCACTGGAGATGGCTTGGATATTTCCAGGGAGGTAATGTCAGGATGAAAATTCAGCACAATGATTTTTCGGTCCAATTAGACGTCAATACACTGGTTGTTATACTTTAAGAACTGTGCAAGTTTGGAGAATTATAAAAATAAATAGAAAAAACAGAGTTTTAAACGTTTACTGACTTGTGAACTTGAAAACACTTAAAGGGGATGTCCAGATGGGGAATACATATGACTCGGTGTTTGGAAATCTAGCGTTCAAACCGGAACTTATAGGAACTGACGCATGTTTAGCTTAATTTCATGTTTCAATAAACAAAAGTAACCATAGAGGCGTCCGTGCTTGCTTACGTGCGTGCGTTCGAAGATTAAGAAAATTCGACAAAATAGTAATGGGTACCGCATAGTTTAAACATCGGACATTTGCGAGACACTGTATGAAGAACGTCCATATTACACTGCTCTCTCAAAATGACGACAAAATTAGTTCCCCCAAATGTGTGAGTTAAACAATGAATTCAACTCCTGACAAAGATACTGTGCTAGTACCCACTCTTAAGGACATGAGGAGATAACATACATAAATGTCTACTTTCTGTTCTGAAATGAAGCTCACAAGGGGCAAGTCTAGCCCAGATTGCTTCCTATTCGTACAACATCTCCAATCAACCAGTCCACACATCCTTCCCTTAGCATATCCTTATGAAATCGTGAGTTGCATATGCTTGACATCAGTAGACACTCAGGTGAGCTTCTCATTTTCTTCAGTTAAAAGAAAGCGTAACAAGTTCGCTGCCGATGGGTAACGGAACTTGTTTTAACAACATGAGCACCAAGTGTTGATGATATTCTATCGGAGCAGCGCCAGCGGTTAGCCGATATTGCTGACAGCGTCCTTCGCGAATGCGCAGGCAACGTATTTACGACGGCGTATTTTCTCACAAATCACTAGCATGTCAGATCGGAGTTCAAATTCCTTTTCGGGATAATGTTCTGCCCCAGTAAGGCATAACTGCTTGTTACACAAACGAAACGTGGTCCTTTTTTACTCTTCCTCTGCTCGGAAACAGCTGCTACTGCTAAGTTATTTCAACCCTCGTATGTAGAGCTATAATCGGTTGGTTGAGCACCGAGGATTCTGGAGAAACTCCTTTAGCTAGCTTTATGTCTAAAACTGACCCAAACCTGCAGGACTTATAAAACGTGGTTTAAACAGTTATGAATAAAAACAATTAAAGTGAGTAACGGTTAAACTTCACTTTACCAAACCAGAATAAATTTCCCAAACTGCACCCATATTTGAATAAACAAGCGAACTGCGCAAATGCGTTTTGAGTATATACATAACCGCAGTCACTGGATATAAGTGTGCAGTCGATTTTAAATCTCAGCTCCCTGAGAAATATACGAACCTTGCAGCCTGTGAAGCGCTATGAAATTAGTAGACACATTACAATTTCTGGTTGCCGGGTAGTCATTCAAGGATGGGTAACCAAAGGCATATTGACCAAATACAAGCTCGGTCATCCATACAACCACTTCGCTCGACATATGCTTAACTTCACCCGATAAGTGGCCTGCACGTGGTATCGAGCCATAATCTTAATGACGAGCGAGGCGGATGGGTAGTCTAGTGGTTAAAGTGTTCGCTTGCAACGCTCGATAACCGGCTTCGATTTCCCACGTGGGTACAATGTGTGGCGCCCATTCCTGATGTCCCCTACTGTCAAATTGCTGGAATATTGCTGAAAAGCAGCGTATAAGACAACTCGCTCAAAATGTGACAAGTAAACATCAAGGCTTCTCGCAACCCCTAAGTTTACCATTGTAATGATAGCAACCCAACTATTATGAATCCGTTTCACACCCTAACTAATAGGCCACTAATTGTGCTGCAAGAATACAAGATGACGAATGTAGTAGGTCATTGTTGAAGTGATCCCAAAGGTAGTCCGGATCAGAGATACGTTGACTTAATCATCTGCTTGTCCCCAGAGTCAACTGTCTGTGGTGTACTAAATTTAGACAGGGAGACAAGACCGGTATGGAAATGTAACCTTCCGGAATATCACAGTATAGTCTGACCCTGAGAGTTGGAGACAGTTCAGGACACTATTGATTATCTATTGGGGTTTGCCCCAGTCATCTCTCGTTACATCTCACGTTACAAGAAGGCCAAGAGTTGTGTGAAGATCACTATCACCCTGGATACTCAACCTACGCCAATTTTGGAAGCTTGACCACTGTTTGCAGTGAGGTGATGATTGTCATCGCTGTCGTATCAGTGTTATCAGGGCATATTGCCACTGTGTTTTGTTCTTTACCTTTGTTGTGCTTCGTATTTCCTTATGGGCAGTATTGTAGCCTAATGGTTAAAACGTCATCACATCGAAATGCTAGGTTCGATTCCCAGTGTGGACTCAATATGTGAAACCCTCTCACTCTAATGTCTTTGACACGGTGTTCCAGACCTTCTTTTAAACAGCATAAGTTGTGAGGGACTTTATCGTTGCTAATTATCTGCTCAGCGTCAGAATCCGTCAGTAGAGTAAATGCTTTGGCTCAAGCCTTTTGAAAAACCACTTTCATCCGCCGAAAGTGTTATTTGTAAATGTTTAAGTGACATGTGGAGGCATTAGCTACCGATAAACTAAACCCATCCTACAGTAATTATGCTATCCAATAAGTCAAAAGGTTACAAGTTTCAGTTTTTTAGAATATTTGCAGCATGCGTTCTCTAAGATCATGTGTGCACACTGTGCTGGTTAAACTGTGCTCATTATCGTATAGCATAGTGCTGTGTGCCTATAAGACCGCGAACTCATTAGACGGGATTTAGCAAAGAGTAACATCAGCCAAGGTGGAATGTTGCCACAGATGTCACATTGTTCCTATTTAGTGTTTTCTACACTATCAGCAATCACTTAAAGGGATTTGTTTACTGCACGAAATATTGACAACATATTTGTTCTTATTCCATCGGTAACGAATGTTATGTTATCTCCATTTTCAATACTTACACATTTTTGTATATATTTCATATCGTTTTTTGTATATCTTCAATAAAGAACTTGATTCATTACTCCATCGAACTTGCACAAATTAATGGGCAGCAGTGTAAATACAGAGAACGGTTTAAATAAAACTGCAACATATTTTTAACTCAATGAAAAACATGTATAAAATTTGGTAAAGGGGATGTGATTTTCACAGTTGTGTACTTTGTCGTTAATTTCATAGTTAGGAGTTCTCATTTATGTCATACTGTTGAGAATTCCGTTGTTAAGTTCTTTACTGTTATGCGCAATATTATTAACGTCGTTGTTGTTAGGCGGAACTTTAATCTGTTCTATGATTGTTAGTCATGGCATAATAAAATACGTGGTTGTCCAAACTTTCCGTTTTTAAATTCCTTACTTTTTGTGCACACTGTCTTTAATTTTGTGATAATGAGTGCTTATTAATTTCATATCAAGCGTTATTAAGGTCATTACTGCTATGTTAATGTCATTGCTGTTGTGCTTAACTTTAAGCCATTTCATGGTTGTTGGTCATGACAAATAATTTATGGTTGTTATGCTACAAAATACTGTTATGTTCCCTAATGTTACTGGTGTCGTGTAATGTTATTAATGACAGAGTCGTTACTGTGGGAACTGTGGTCTTGTGGTCCATGCAGATTTGGCTACTGAGTTGCGTCCCTATGACCGTGGCTGAGCATCCTTGTAAGGACTCATAACATGACTTACTTTGCCGGCATCATTCCTGTTTCATCCAAGTTGTCTCAGACCTGCATCGATTCCGGCTTTGCTCCCACTTCAAACTGACAACCCTTGAAAATCCGGCTTAGAACTGGTCTAACCCATGCTTGTCGTAAGAGGCGACTAACGGGATCGGGTGGTCAGGCTTGCTGCCTTGGTTGACACATGTCATCGGTTCCAAAATGCATTGATCGATGCTCATGCTGTTGATCACTGGATTGTCTGGTCCAGACTCGATGATTTACAGATCGCCGCCATATAGCTGGAATGTTGCTGAGTGCGGCGTAAAACTTAACTCACTCACTCACTTCGAGCTGACACTTTGTGATATACAGGGAAATACCGTTGATTGGTTGGTTGGTTTGTTGTTTAAAGCCGCACTCAGCAATAGCCCAGCTATATGGCGGCGGTATGTTAGACCTTGTGTCTGGACCAGACAATCTAGTGATCAAGAGCATTAGCATCGATCTACGCAATGGCGCTGAACCAAACTTACGGACTGTCAGCAACTGTCTGTATGTGCATTAGGGTTGAACAAAAGCAAATGTTTCCCATAGATTTAAAAAAGTAACGTAATATATTTCGGTATAGCAACAGTCTGGCCTAAAGCTGCAAATCTTTGGCTGGCTTGGTTAGTTCATATTCCAAATACAACAAGCTAAATGTCACCTGCTTGAAAATATCATTGGTGACATTCAGAATGTCAGT